ACCCTGCCCTCCCCCGCCTCGAAGGAGTGTATCCGGACGCTGCAGGCGAATAAAGACCGGACAAGGATGCGTCACCACATCATTTTGGCCCAATTTGGAATCCAAACTATGCTCCAAGTGGCCTCATGAATTCGCATTGTGTATGCAACGGTCAAAAGTTGGAATAGACTAATCTATAGTTGGGGGTCATTCATACCACCATGAATAGGGAATTGGAATGGCCTGGCCAATATCTTGAGTTCCCATATCGTGAACATGTTTTTCATTGTCAAATCCTCTCCACATTCAAAGCTCCCCAGCCATCTCACATCCATTCCCAGCAGCAACGTGTGCAGGCGGCAGGTTTCGGTGTTTGGGCTGCTGTTCCACCATCGCGCGGCACTGAAGGTTGGGGTTCCGTACAGACCAGCTGCCCCCCAAAAAAAACGTGTGGTTGCTACCAAGAATGACTGACACTTGCCCAAATCCAACTGGAGAACGATTTGGAAATATTGATTCATCCATTCCTTTTCATCTATGTCCATACATTCATAAAAGCCACCATAAATATTGAGAAGATTCGTCCCATTCCATCCCAACATCTATCCATATCTATCCTATCATCCATGATCCATCTCCATCATCCCATCCGAGATGCTGAGCTGCCGCAGCTGCCCTTGGATCGCTTACCTTTTGAGACGCCAATGGCCTTGCTCTTTGGCTCCGAGGTGCTTGGCTCGGATCATCCCGCTGTAGAAATGGCTACAGAACAAGGGATGGGCCAATGGGGATGTACAGTGAACATGGGGTGTAAGCAGAAGCTGGTGAGCAAAGGAACAATCTAGAACAGAATGTGAACAGATCAGAATGTAAAGATCAGGATGCAGCCCAAAACAACAAATAGAGTTCTGCCAAATCTCTGGAAGGAGCTAGTTAGGATAGGCATCAGTTTGGTACGAATGTACACAGTATACATGTATATTGCACAAATATTTGTGCATGCACATAGGGAACATTGCAAACCCTGATGTTTGCTTTATTTTGCATTGTTATACACCTCATGGTGAGATAGAAGCAACTCAAAAACTCTTCCCAAGAAATCAATCCACCTTGCAGTGCCCATCGTTTTCAGGCGCGTGGTGTTTCAGCGTCAGCGCTGTCAATGTGCAACGGGCGGTTCACCGTGCCACTGAGCGGACTCAGCGAGAGCCTGGAGCCCAGCCCACATCGTCCAAAAGGGGCCCAAATCAGATTGATTGATATTGATTATACATTTTGACTGTATACAAAACCATTCACCTAAAAACATCTAAAATCATTGGTTCTAGGAATAGGAAAGCAGTGAACTCTGGAGGACCTTGGTTTGCGACTGATTCGAGTCCTAAAATTTACAGTTCTACTCGGTGAATTAGTCAGTTTACTGCACACTGGCATCTAGTCTTGGAAACTCCCAGCAAACTTGCCGTTGGTGCTCAAACAGTGAGTGGCATAGCAGGCAGGTATGCAAGGAGCAGGAGAGACTCAGATATTCTGGCGGCTTTTCTAAGATATTGCCACCCAGAAGTGGTGAATGAGTTTCAGCAGCTTGGACTACAACATCAACAAGTTTGGCTGGATGCATTCTCAGCAACTTGCCTTTGGCAGATGCAGAATATGTTGGGTGACCGCATTGCAGAAAGGATGCATGTGGCCAACCCTCAAGCCCTTGGCCCAGAAGATGTTGACCTAAATTCCATCCTTGCGCAGATGCACAGCTCTTCCACTGCCAGAGGTCAAGCAGATCCTTGCCCACTGCTCCGTGCCCTGAAGCCGCAGATCAGGGTCGATCAAAGCATTTGGGAGGATCTAGTGGGACCTCTCCGACAAGACTTTCTGCCATCTTGGGGCAGAAAGCGTCTACGGCAGGAACTGCAGCAGCGCCATCAAAGTGGCTTGCTGAAGATGAGGCTAAAGCAGAATAGCGACTGGAAAGCTCAAAACACTTCTGATGCCACAACCCAAAAACCGATGGCTACCAAGTCGTGGACCAGCCTCAAGCCAAGCTTGTTCGCAGACTTGCCAGTCTTGATGGTGGCTGAAGAAAAGATGGTCAACTGCACCGTCATTGATCATCCTTTCGTATACACTGCAGTGCAGGCATTGGTTGAAGATGCCCAAGGGCAGGTCATGCCTCTTCAGCCTACAATCAGCTCCCTGAGGGTGGAGCGAGTTTGGATGAAGTCAACTCCAAATTTGCCAAAGGCACAAAGTTGAGGATAGCTGAGCCCTTCCTCAAAATCATGAACCATGGCTACCGCGGGATTCGTGTGGATGCACCCTCTGATGTGCGAGTCTCCTCGGAGCTTTCTGACTCTGATTTGACATCCTTGAAGACTGCCGGAAACAGCGCATTCTCCAAGGGACAGTTTGATCTTGCCAGGGAGAAATACATGGCTGCCTTGCAGCTGGTAGAGGTCAATGAGATTGCTGCCCAAGCCCTCCTTGAAATCGACCCGGTCGAAGCTTGCAAGGATGCAGCCGCCACCCTGCTGCGACCAGCCCATCAGAAAGCAGGGCTGCGTTACGCTGCGGCGTTGAAGAAATGTGCAGAGCTCTTGGCAGAAGGCGGAGAAGAACATCGCAGCATGTTACTTCTTGCAAAGCGAGCCGCCACTTTATATCCTGCAGGGGCACAAGCTGCGCAAGGTGACCAGAGTGATCAAGGTGTCACCAGAGAAAATGTCCAGCATGTTTTGGCACTTTTGCTGTCTGGGTTCGGGGGTGGTCTCGAGCTCTATCAGAACAGGGTTGATTTTCAGCTATTCGGGGAGACAGCTGCTCAGTGCAGGGAAGAAGCCAACCACCAATACAAAGCTGGAGACAAGTTGAAAGCCATCTCTGGTTACACACTTGGTCTGGGAAAAGTCAGCTGCGCAAAAAATGTTGCCATTCTCCTGTCAAATCTCAGTGAAGCATGCCTCAGGCTCAGGGAATCGCATAAGATACTATGAACACGCCTCCGCGTGGCTGTATTGGGCCTTGGTCTGCATGCTTCTACTATGCGCTCCTTGGTGCAAAGTGTTCCATGGGATCGTGGAGAAGTCTTCGAGCGAAGCCGGGGCTACGCTTGGGTTACTTCTCTTCATGGTGGCTGTAACTTGGTACTTGGCCCCAAAAAGGCATGTTCGCACCTCAGCTAGATTTGCTTTGCCAGCACTATGGATTTGCAAACGAAGATTTGCTGTCACACGGTGGTGGAAGCGTCAATTTCACAGGTCTAGGAGAGAGAGATTTGCATCTGCCCGACAGTTTCTGTCTTGTGATTCTTGTTGTGCACCTGCCATGTTTCGTTTTCACGATACGGTGAGCACTCAGCCTGTGCAAGAGAACATGCACAGTCCCAGGAGAAAAATTTTTGCATATCTGTGTCAACCTCTGTCTTGTATGTATTGCCTTTTGCCTGCCAAGTGTCGTTTTCACTTCACAGTTGGCAGTCAGCATGAGCAAGATAGAACGAAGGATGTTCCGACTGAACCACATATGAGAGGGGGAGGGAAAAATGCAAGTTCCGCAACTGAAAACCGCCTCCTTGAAGGCCTTAGAGAGTTGTTGAAGACTGTTGATGAAACGCCGAGCCACACACAAGCTGAAATAGGAGGGGAAGCCAAGTTGCTGGCGGATCTCAAAAATTTGATTCACCAGCACAAGAAAGGATGTCTGTTGCAGCAGCTGAAGTCGTTGGTTACACAAGCCACTAGGTCCCAGCACGTATACAGTGAGCCAGGCTGAAAAAATTCAGTTGACACAGGTAAACGCCAAACTTTTTACGGTTCATGGAAAAATGTGAAGAACCAAGATGGAGGAGGGAAGCAGGCTAAGCCTGATAGTAAGAGCTGGGCGCAAGTTGTGTCTAGTGCCCACACTCAGTGGACTGGATCAGATGGATGGACTGAATTTGTTTGGAAGCCGCGTCAAGAAGATTGGCAAGTTGAAGGCAAATCAGCAGTCCAAGTGGTCACCTCTCTTGACCGCTTAGAACACAAACTAGAGGAGAACAACAAAACTCCGCTGGTGGCTGTGACAAGCGATGTGGAGGAGCTCACAACCACATTGGAAATGGTGGGAGGCGACGCCAACTGCCGCGTCACCGTGCTCTAAAAGAGTGCCTCCGATTTGCCAGACGAAGTGGCGCGCTGGCAAATGAAGGCATCTCGTGGAAGGGTGCCTGGGCAGCTCAGTGGAAAGCTACAGTCCAGGGTGGTTTGGGTGTTTCGTCTACATGATGCAAGCCCGAAGCTAGCCACCAAAACAATCGAAAAGGTGAAAATTCAGACTGAAAACACTGCGCAAGAGGAGGTGGTCGTGCGTTTTTGCACAGATGCTTGTTACAGCTGGGAAGCGTGGTCTCGGCTGACCAGCAATGCAGGGAAGGAGGCACGTTTGTGGTGCCATTCTGTACTTGAGAATGCAAAAGAAAATTGTCAAGACACATGGGGCTTCGAACTGGATCCCACTTCGAAACTGATCAGGGGCCTGATGAGAATCAGGGGCAAGAAAGCTGCTCAGGATGTGCTTGCATCTAGCGGCATTGCCCATCATGGAGTGCGCTGGTTCACGGAGCTCAGGGACAAGCGCCAGTTGTCCTCAGAGCCCCAGGAAGTCCTTTGGATTGAATGGAAAGACAATGAGGATTGGCCGGAGTACATTGCCCGTGCCCTGCGTGACTCCACGCACGGCCTTGTGCGGGGGAGGTACCAGCTTGGCATGCGGGTCCACAGAAATGACGAGCGATGGTCCCCAGCTATTAGTACATGGAGGCTGCAAAAAATCCCACGACATTGGGACTTTCCCACAGTGGAGGAGGTTGCGAAGCAAATGGGCTTCAACGGAGTGCAGATTTTGAGCAAAGGAAGGAATGGCTTCTCCAACAGTTGGACTTTCTTGGCCAAACGTGCTGACCCCCTTGAGTTCATTTCTAGTGAAATCGAAGCAGCGGGCTCGGATGCGCATAGCGAGCCTGTGGAGGTGTTTGCGGTCAAGGAAGCCAGACGTCGCAGTCCGCAGAACTTCAAAGTCCGGGCGCTTCAGCCTGAACGTACTGTCCGGTTTTCTTTTCCGGATTGTCCTGTGGCTGCCAGCACAAAGTTCCAGGAGGTGGAGCAAAATGCAATGCCTGTTGACCTGACTGGAGATCCTGACAAACCTGAGAAAGTGGAGGGAACCGAGGACATGTCCAAGCGGACAGGGAGGGAGAACTCTGGAAGAAGCAGAAGCCCAGTGAAGAAGAGTACTGCTACCAATGATAGCAAAGCGGCTTCTACCACTAGTGTTGGCCAGGTCAGTTCAGGATTTTTTCATGGTGGGAACGTTGTTGCAAATTCTGGACAAGGTGACTGCCTTTATCTCGCTGTAGCCCAAGCCCTGACGAAACTGGAAGGAAAGAGTAGGTCTCACAGACAGCTCAGGGCATTCACTGTGGCCACCTTGCGCCAAAAGAAGGAGACATATGAGCCGCGATGGTTGCACATAGATGACAAAGGTAAGGCAACAACCATGACATTTGATCAATACATTGACCAGCAGGGTCAAGTTGGCAGTTGGGGGGGCTCTTTTGAAGTGGAAGTGTTGGCTACTTCATTGAAAAGGAGGTTTTGGATTTGCGACAATCAGCATGCCTTCCTCTATAATGAGGACGGCGAGGGCCCGCCTGTTGTCCTTCAATATGGGAACGACCATTATCAAAATGTTGAAGGTTACGATGAGTACATGCTGGAGCAGAGACGCAAACGGTTGGCCAAGGATAGCTCTCAGGCTTTTCGCGGGGGTGTTCCTGCCTTAGTTGCTAGCCTCAGGTTGTCTGACTTTGCGAGTGGAGGGGGGACGTCCAAGCGGCCCCGCTCAGTCCCCAGTGCAGCAAGCCAGTCTTGTCGGCTCTCAGATTTTGCTTCTGTGAAGACCGTGCGAGCTAAGCAGGGCAGATCAGCCGACCACAAAAAGCTTCAGTGCTTCAAGGAGGATTTGCATACCTGGAAATGTGACAAATGCGCGACAGTTCTGCAAGCTACTACAAAGCTTCAGCTATCGGCCAAAAGGAGGAATCACATTTACAACAGACATCGACATGAACCTCGGACTTCTTTCCACCAAATCAGGAAGACCTATGTACCCATTCAGGTTCTGCACAAGAGCAAAGTTGAATATGTAGGTTGGGAGTGCGGCTTCTGTGATGGAGTGCTACCAGCCATGGAGGGAGAGGAGCAGTGGTTGCGGGCATCCATCAATGCCCATCTGGCCTCGTGCATCAAAGCGCCCAAAGGAGCTACGCCTTATCACCACCAGTTGGCATTGAACAAACGTTGTGGTCTCTCCAAACCAGAGTTGAAGGGTGCCAGGGCACACTCACTGGCGTGGGCGCGCAACATGCGCCAAAAAGGGCTCGCTGGCATGACTGAGATTCAAGAGCAGTCTGTGCACCAATTATTGCGGATTGATAGTGACTCTCACAAGCGGGCGATGTTTGCTTGTGCAACTTGCACCAGGCATTGGAGATCCCTGGGGCAGCTGAAAATTTCTCACAATGACCGCTCTGTACCTCAGCAGTGCAACGGCGGCATGAGGGAGGGGCTTCTGACTTGCAAGAAGAAATGTACTTTCTGGCAAACATTGAACAACAAATGGAAGGCGAAGATGGCGGCTGCATGGTGTCTCTCTCCCGCCGAGCGCAGGGCGCTTAATGCTGCTTGCGCCAACAACAAGCGGCTCCCAACCAAGCGCAAAAGCGAATGGCAAAGAGATTTGACTGCTGATGAGGATGTTGAAGAGAACCCTGGACCGTCAATATGCTGTGTTAGTGTGAACATTCAGGGACAAGACAACACCTCTTCTTTTTTGGATGTGCTGCAGGAGCGGAAATCCCGGCCCCACTTGGTGGCCTTGCAAGAGACCAACTTGGATGTTGTCAAGCGGGGGGTCGTCATTCACAAGTTTAACCAGATGGGATATTCGGCTTGGGCGACCCAGCCAGTCACTAAAGTTGATGCTGCGGGAAAAAGATACCATCGAGGAGGAGTTTTGCTGGCTGTGCGCCAAAACATCAAAGCAGCCTGGCATGCAGAATTTGATGAGCATGGAGGGCAGTGTCTCACTGTCGATGCGGGCACTTTTCTCCTTTCCACCTGCTGGCGGCGACCGGATCACGATGAAGATGCTGCTGCTGATTTCTGGTCTCATCTGACCGAAACGCGTCAGGACGCCCAAGCTCGGGCTCTGCCGTGGGTAGCTGTTGGAGATTGGAATAATACACCAAATCAGATGTGGATGTGTCGCACAGGCAGTGCCACTCTGTGTGCAGTCACTGATGAGGAGGGTTCTTTCTTGCCGAGTCGATGGCATGGGAGGTGTGTGGACTTTGCTATTTCTTCTTTTTCGGGAATTTTGCATGCTCCATCGTTTTGGGAAGAAGTTCTCAGTGACCATAAAGTTTTTCAAATGAGTTTGGACATTGGTTTCAACAATGCTGGCGGCGAGTGCATGGCTCCCACCAGATCATACCTCAAGCCCACTGGGGTGTCCACAACTGATTGGAGGGAGACGATAGCTCATTTTTGGCAATACACTGAAGCTATTCAAAATACAACTACTGAGGAGGAATGGTATACATTCAATGCCGCTGTTGAAGACTGTATGCGACGTGCTGCAGCAAAGCATGGCTGTCGAACTACTGAAACGAAGCGTCCAAAAGGTACTGCGCCTTGGACACTTCCCAATTCTGATTATCATTGCCGTTGCGGTACGTTGAGCACTTTTCCCATTCGGTCGGCCATCAAACTTCTTGGCCGGATCAGGGAATACCGCAGACAACTTTGCCAGGAGCAGCAGGATGCGCGGCTTTTGCGCAATATTCAGAGGACTTGGCCGGAAAGTGCGCACTTTCAAACTTGGTTCCAGGCGGAGCAGCACTTGCAGAAGCAACTGGATACTATGAAGGCGTCCTTGAAGAAGGCAAATATGCAACAGTGGAGGGCTCGAATGAACAGACAAGGTAAGGCAGCAACAAAGTGGCTCAAAGCCAAACCCGTTTTGGTGCCTCGCTCAATCCTGCGCGCTGATGGGAGCAAAACGCAATGCCCAGATGAAGCACTTCATGAATTATCAGTTTTTTGGCGTCGTACGTGGGATCGTCCAATTTCTGGTGAGGTTCAAAGAAGTCTGCAAGAGGAGATGCGCCGGCCTGTTCAGGAGGGGCCCCACATTCAGGAAGTTTTTCCGCCTGCCGAAGCTCTTTTGGCCAGAGCTCGCCAGGCGGCTGACGGGGCTCCTGGCCCCGATGGGTGGGCAGGAGGAGAGGTTGAGCATTGGTGTCTTGGAATTTGGGAAACATATTTGCAGCTTTTGCACAGGTGGGCATCACGTGGTAAGTGGCCACGATCATGGCAGCATATGAGACAAGTGCATATTCGGAAGGATGACAATGTCTATGCGGGTGACGCCGTGCCTGCTAAGGCGATGAGGCCTATTTCTGTGCAGTCAATATTGGTGCGTATTGTTGGGAGCGCCTTTGTCTCTCAGCCTGAAGTGCGCGAGTGGGTCAAGTCGCAGGTCCCCACGTGCTGCCACGGAGCTTTGGCTGGCCGTGACGTTGCGACAGCATGGAGTGATTTAGCTGAAGCGATTGAGCAGAAACAGGTCATCGCATCATTAGATTTTGAGAAGTGCTTTGACAATGTGTGGCCATCGCTTGCTTTGGCTATCATGAGGAGGAAGGGTCTGTCACCGGTTTGGTGCAACCTGCTGGGCCACATTTGGCAAGGGCAGCGAAGGTGGCTTCAACTTGGACGTTTCACGGCGTCCAATCCCGACAAGGTCTCGTGCTCATTACCCCAAGGTGACGCCATGTCACCCCTGGCTCTGGTATTTTTGCTTGCAGATACGGCGGCCAAAGTCGACGCCATGGAGAACGTGTCCACTTCTATGTTTGTCGATGACAGAGCCATTTGTTCGTCTGATGTTCAGCAAGTTGTGGCGGGCATACAAGTTTGGGAGGCGGCGAGCCAGGCCTTGGGCCTCAAGGAGAATCAGGACAAAACGGGCATTGTTTGCTTTACTGCTAGACAGCACAGACAGTTGGTGGAGCAAGGAGTCCGGCCTGAGACTATCAAGGATCAAATTCGAATCCTGGGTATTGATGTTGTGCCAAACAGCGGATGCGAAGCCGCTACTATGGCTAAACGCGCTCAGGATGGTATTGCAATTTTGACGAGGCTGGCCTTTTGTCCAATTGGAAGAGAGGTTAGGAGGGCATTGTATAGATCGAGAGTTATTCCGCTTTTGACTTGGGGAGCTTGGCTGAGACCACTGCCGGCCTGTGTGGCCAAGGAAGTGAACAGCATGTACAGAAGTCTTTCCCGAGGACATTCTATGGGCAGCAAGCCGCTGCGCACTATTTTGGAGGGTCATTGTGCCGATCCTGCTTTTTGGGCTCTTCATCAATCCCTTCAAGCAGCAGCCCGAGCACATAGGTTTCGGCCGTTGCGCTGGAGAGATTCGCCGTCTTTGTTTGGCTGGCAGCGAGCATTGGTTACGGGGCTTGGCGATTTGGGATGGAACCCGGTCAGACCATGGGTCTTGGAACACCCAGTTGAAGGGCGTTGCAGAATTCTTGCAGCTGAAGATGCTTTGCATAAAGTTCGCGAATCCTGGCGGAGAAAGCTTTTTCATGACTTTTTGCAGCAAGATAGGAGGGACAGTAGAAGTTTGCGCCAGGTTGCTCAATATGACGCTGTTTCTTGTCGTCTGGCCCGCACTTTCTACGAAGAGTCTGGTAATCATGTGCGCTCCGTGCTTGTGGGAGCAGCTTTAAGTACTGCGGTCTATCACCGGATTCGCAAAGAGGTGGTGCCAGCTTTTTGCAAGTGGTGTGGGCAGTCTGTTCACGCCGATTGGGAGCATTTGGTGTGGCATTGCGAGTTCTTTCAGCAAACTCGTCCAGCATCCACACCTCAAGAGTTCTTGACCAGGAGACTTGGATGGCCAGCCATTGGCCAAAACAAGGCGGCTGCTGCTATGCTCCTGCACCATATGGCATTGGTGCGGCAGCACGTACTGGAGGGCTTCTAATCATTTCTGGGCCTCTCTGAGGCCCCTCTGTGTGGCGTGCGCATCCATCGTCGTCACGCTCTTTGCGTGAACTTCTATGAGGTGTCGCGTCACGAAAAAGATGCAAACAGGGAATCGCATAATGCGATGCGATTTGCTTTGGCTGCAACACGCTTTGGCGTCACAGAATTATTTGGCAAGCTCCTCTCTCGAACCTGCCGAGCTTTTGAACAGCTGGGGCAGAGACATTTGGCTGTGAAGCTTGCAGAAAGTATCAGTGAAGATGCCACCTGCAAGCAAATATCTAAGGAGTTCTCCCGTGTGCCGGCAGAATCCTTTAAGACGAGGGTGTACACCTATGGTGGGGCAGAAGTGCTGTTTCGCATTCCCGACATGTATTTGTTGAATGCTTTGCAGTGCATGCTTGGTCTGAATTTGGATAGTATGTTTTGTATCTCAACTTGAACGTCGACAGGCATATTTAAAGAAAGCGCTGACCTCAAACAGAATTTCTTTCATCTTGTTACAAGGTACATTTTTCAGAAGAGAAATGACACATGTAAAGCAGAGCGTCCGCATCTACAACGAGTTCATGGTTTTCTGTTCATGTGCAATGCTGTGCCTTCGTTAACGTGATGGCACTCCTTCAAATGTCAAACCAGTGCATGAGTTTGTCCATCAAGGGATTAAGACCGTACATGTGGCGGGAAAAGGACGAGGAGTTGTTGCGACTGAATCTATGGAATCAGGTGAGTTGTTGACTTTGGCATATGCCTTGTCACTAGCTTTGGCGGCCAAAAATGAGTGTATACAAATCACATCAGGCAAAACATTTTGGAATGCGACCCAAGCAAAATTAATCGGCAGGCTTGCTTACTGCTCTTCCAGTGACAACGAGGTCACCTGGCTTTTGTCTCGGCTTTGTGAAAAGCCAGAGGAAACCAAGGCAACAGTTCAGCCTCATGTTGACAGGCTTAAGTCCGAGATGGATGCCTTTACTGGGGCAGCAGCATTGCTACTATCCTCCAGGTGACCGTGTATTCTTGACAAAGCCAACCATCGATTCCATCGTTCTCATCAACTCCCATGGCAGCCACAAAGCAGAAGATCACCAGGGTACAGGTCATTCTGGTATTTTCCCAAGTCACTTTGCATCTGATGAATGATTGAAGAGGCAAGCACTGCTTGCCTCTCCAATCATTCACCAGATGCAAATTGCGAGTTCGCTTCAGTGAAGCTGCGAGATGGTTCCAAAGTGCCCGAGATTTTGGCTGTGACGACCATCAGAGCTGTGAGGGAAGGCGAAGAACTCAATGGGTGCTATTCGCAGGAGATGCACGCAGAGAACCAGTGGGGCATCAGAGGGCGATAAAATGGCCGCGATTAAAATGATCGGTCAAAGCCTGCCTGTAGTCCTTACCCCATTGCTTCGCAAAAGGGTGCCCGTACGACGCATGCCAGTTGCTGGGTCCCGTTTTCGTCTTGTGCCCCACTGCAACTTTTCTTGATACGTGTTTAACGTGTTTCAGTCATCAAACCCGTTTCCATGGTCCCAACTCCATTCCAAGCCCTTAGATCCCTTAGCGTGAGGTCTCAACGTCTCAGTCTGCGTGGCCGTGTGTGTCCACTATGGTGCCCTACAACGGCGCAAGACGCTGGAGACTGGGCAGACCAGTGACATGCGTGGCGAGGAGGCGCCATCGTCGGTCCGTGGGTTCAAGCTGGGTTGGGGGAGAACCTGTCGTCAACGGGGCCGCCACTCTTAAAAGGGTGAATGCACTTGCAGCATGGCGGGGTAGAATCCGAGAAAATCACAATTTCAAACGATGAATTGATTCCGACTTTGCTGAAATCTTTGGGTTTGCAAAGACGAAGTGCAACAGTTTTGGGTTCGACGCAGCCTGAAACATTAAATCATTAAATTAAACACATTCAGAAAATTAAAGGACCGGATAACCCCACAAGACAACTTCTTTGAATAAAAAGCACCAAATGTTGTAGCGGGGACGGGGAAGGAAGGAAAGACAAAGGAGGTGGTGGAGGACCGAGAAGTAAAACAAAGTTGTGTGTGACAAAGTTGTATGTGAAAGCTGGTGTGTGACTAAGAAAGATAGTGTGTGTGACAAAGTGGTGTGTGCAAGATGGTGTGTGCGAAAGTTGTGTGTGAAAGAGGGCGTGTGACAAAGTTGTGGGAAAGATGGTGTGTGACAAATTGGTGTGTGAAAGATGGTTTGGCGAAAGATGGTGTGTGACAAAGTTGTGTTAAAGATGGTGTGGTGAAAGATGGTGTGCGACAAAGTTGTGTGTGAAAGATGGTGTGGTGAAAGATGGTGTGTGACAAAGTGGTGTGTGGAAGATGGTGTGTGAAAGATGATGTGAAAAGATGGTCTGTGACGGTGTGTGAAAGATGGCGTGTGACAAAGTGGTGTGTGAAAGATGGTATGTGACAATGTGATGTGTGACAAAGTGGTGTGTGACAAAGCGGTGTGTCAAAGATGGTATGTGACAAAGTGGTGTGTGAAAGAGGGTTTGTGAAAGATGGTGTGTGACAATGTGATGTGTGAAAGATGGTGTATGAAAGGTGGGGTGTGACAAAGAGGTGTGTGATAGATGGTGTGTGACAAAGTTGGTGTGTGAAAGATGGTGTGTGACAAAGTTGGTGTGTGACAAAGTTGTGTGTGAAAGATGGCGTGTGACAAAGTTGTGTGTGAAAGATGGCGTGTGACAAAGTCGGTGTGTGAAAGATGGTGTGTGAAAGATGGTCTGTGACGGTGTGTGAGAGATGATCTGTCCCACGCCTGCCACGCAAAACGACAGTAGATGTGAGTTTGTGCCACGCCTGCCACGTGAAACGAAGGTGGATGTCAGGTTGTGCCACGCCTGCCACGCAAAGTGCCGCGGCGTCACAGGCGCCAAATCCCGGCCCAAGGGCGCCACCCAGTACCATAAGTGCCACGCCTGCCACGCAAAAACGACGGTGGATGTGAGTTTGTGCCACGCCTGCCACGTGAAACGAAGGTGGATGTCAGGTTGTGCCACGCCTGCCACGCAAAGTGCCGCGGCGTCACAGGCGCCCAAGCCGGCCCAAGCGCGCCACCCAGTGCCATCTGTCTCACGCCTGCCACGCAAAACGACGGTGGATGTGAGTTTGTGCCACGCCTGCCACGTGAAACGAAGGTGGATGTCAGGTTGTGCCACGCCTGCCACGCAAAGTGCCGCGGCGTCACAGGCGCCCAAGCCGGTCCAAGCGCGCCACCCAGTGCCATGAGTGCCACGCCTGCCACGTGAAACGAAGGTAGATGTGAGTTTGTGCCACGCCTGCCACGTGAAACGAAGGTGGATGTCAGGTTGTGCCACGCCTGCCACGCAAAGTGCCGCGGCGTCACAGGCGCCCAAGCCGGCCCAAGGGCGCCACCCAGTGCCATCTGTCCCACGACTGCCACGCAAAACGACGGTGGATGTGAGTTTGTGCCACGCCTGCCACGTGAAACGAAGGTGGATGTCAGGTTGTGCCACGCCTGCCACGCAAAGTGCCGCGGCGTCACAGGCGCCCAAGCCGGCCCAAGCGCGCCACCCAGTGCCATCTGTCCCACGGCTGCCACGCAAAACGACGGTGGATGTGAGTTTGTGCCACGCCTGCCACGTGAAACGAAGGTGGATGTCAGGTTGTGCCACGCCTGCCACGCAAAGTGCCGCGGCGTCAGAAGCGCCCACGCCGGCCCAAGGGCGCCACCCAGTGCCATCTGTCCCACGCCTGCCACGCAAAACGACGGTGGATGTGAGTTTGTCCCACGCCTGCCACGTGAAACTGTGTGTGTGTTGTGTGTTGTTGTTGGGTGTGTGTGTGTGTGTTTTTCCTACGCACCTTTTCTGCAGAAAAGTCTCACGCGTGCCACATCATTGTGTTAATGATGGCCCTTTTGAGAAGAAAGGGACTTGTCGCCTACTCTTACCAGCATGCCGGATGGCACAAAAGCTGGAGGTCTTCAATGGATCGAGGGACGGCATGGAAAATCGAGCATGGCAGCATGCCAGACTCCGGTCAGTTGACAATCACATCGGGAAAAATACACTTCGGGGTTGCCGAAGGGCCTACAAAGGGAGAGGGATAAGCCAACCGGGTGGTTGGGTGCATTGGGGGAGGCAGAAACTTGAACAGAATGCAAAAGTCAAAGGTGATGGTTTCTACGGCACTGATGTGTGAAACAAATTGAAGGTGAGACATCATACTGGGAAGCAACAGCGTGTTTTTTTTTTTAAATACTGGCCTTCTTGAAACGTTGGGCGAAGCCTCTTGGACCAGTGTTTTTTTTTCACACTGGGGTCCACCTGGGTGTTGCCCAGGCCCGGGGATAAACCAGCCTGGGGGCTGGGTGCCTGCAAAAAAAGTCTTGAGGCAAAATGCCTGTGTTTTTTTTTGACAATGGCCGGAAGGAATCTGCAAAAGAAAATGGGTCAGGCAAGATGGCCGCATGGTCATGCATCAGTCGGCAAAGTGCCGGGCTTGGGGTGTTGTCAAAAATTGGCAAAATGCCCTATCCATCTATTGGGTCAAGAAAAAGGAACTCCACAGCAGGAGGGTCTCTCGTCCACAAGTTGGCAAAATGCCAAGTGGGAATGACGCAGCCGCTGGACCACACTCTATGCAAGTTGGCCTCATTGGGCGCATTGTGAGACTGAAAGTTTTTTTTTTTAATACTGGCCTTCGTGAAACGTTGGGCTATGCCTCTTGGACCAGTTCATTTTTTTTTTTAAATACTGGCCTTCGTGAAACGTTGGGCAAAGCCTCTTGGACCAGTTTTTTTTTTTGATCTCTCGTACCTGGAAGGGTACACTCCGGGCTTCGGAGGGCGTGAAAAGGGTCCTCTGTCCGGGGGGACAGGACATGGGGCATCAGTGGAACTGACTTGTGCGGCTGGTCCTATGGTGCTGCTAGCCAAATTGCCGTAGGAGTGTATTGAGGGTTGTGTGTCTGTCATCATTCTGGGTGACATTGGCACTGGTCCTGGAGGGCTGATGAAGATCGAGATCATCTAGCGCGCAGAGCCAAATGCACATGACATTCTGCGCAAACCAACTCGGTTCACTCCAGCATCTGGTGGGCGGTGCATTGTCATCAGTTAACAAATGCATGACCGGTTGCTGAGCATCACTGTAGTCGGCCTGTGTACGCAGGATCGCACGACAATGTCCTGCTTGGTCATCACCTAGGTGTGCAATCGCGGCCACCATTCTGTAATCATGCCATGTAATGTCCAAAGTATTGTTGCAAAAGAAAGGCAACCCAAATACTCCATGCATGCCAATTGAGAGATCCGACTTGTAAGGTTCACCAGTTCCTGTCAGGACATGCCGATCGATGTGCAAGCAAATGACAGAGCTTGGGTGAAGCAACGCTGTGTGCATACCCATGTACTGGTGCCACGCATGGATCATGGTGTCAAGTCTGATCCATCCATTGTGTGCCTGTTCAGGATCAATGTACAATGTGATTGGGTTGAAGCGTTCACTTTTGTCACGTATGCTGAAGTCCCTTCCAATCTGAACCCGTCGCTCCCAGGACCAGTTTATCCGCGGGAGGTCAAGCCCCATGACAATATGTGTCAAAAACTCCACTGGATCACATTGTTCACCATCCTCTGGCCATGTATTGAGAAGCTGGTAAAACCACATGACATCAGGCAAATGAATGGAAGTGGTGCCAGCATTTTGCAGAAAATGAACAATGTGAGCACTCTGTGGACCCCAATCCGAAAGTGAAAAAGATCGGCAGGTCAGCGTGGTCCAGAGCATGGTCAGCACAGCTGTATTTGCATAGCACCAGTTGGCCAAGTTGAGCAGTGTCATCACTTCAAAGCAGGCACGAAGGTGGGACTGGGATGTTGTATCGCTCAACCATGATGGGGCTTGCCCTTGCCGTTGGATTTGCCCTTGGTGGAGTGGTTCTTCCCCTTGCCCTTCCCTAGCATCTGTTGTAGCTGGAGACATTGCTTGCTTTGGGACTGCGTGTGAGGTTTCATTGTGGCCCCAATGAGCCCCCATACCGTGCATCCCTGTAGCACTTCCATCAGACTCTGGATTTCGTCGTGTCTGATGCCAGTCTGGAGGATCCAGGGGACTGTTTGCTGTCCATCCATCTGTTTCAACGAGTGGAACTTGAGAATTGCCGTGTGATCTCGTGAGATCTCCTTCAACTGTGTCGTGTACTTGATCATGCGCGCCATGGTCACATGATCTTGTTTGGTTTGCTTGAGCTGCTTCTGTTGTGGGTTCCATCGTTGAAACGGAAAACTCCCGTCCTCCATGACTATTCCATGTTCCCTGGCCGCTGTCCAAAGCTGTTCTTTCTGATCGGCCTTGGAGAGTTTGAGTACTCGGTCCTCCAGCATCATCGCCAAGTCCTGGAAGAGTCTGATGCGTAGTGGGACATAGTCCGTCTGCGCTTCCACTGGCAGGTGTTGCTGCTGCATGTGTTGATGCCATTCTTTCGCTCTCAGCATCAATTGAGGCAACAGAGCTGGTTCTGCCGGCTGTAGAAAGAAGACGAAAGAGTCTTGTTTTCGCATCATTTGTTGGTCGGCATCGAGACGTAAGATCATTTGACCCATGAGACGCACTAGCTTGACCACTTCCATGTTGGGTTCTGGCTGTCCTGGAGCGTGGTTCCTTTTGGGTTTTTTTGGCTCTTTTTCTT